GGGGGAGGGGCGGCGGGGCGGGAGGACAGGGCGCCCCGAGAAGCGGCGCGGAGACAGTCAGGTAGCAGAGCCTGGTTATGGCTATGGCCGGGGCTGCTTCGCAAGAGGTGAGAGTTCTTGCCGAGCTTATTGGGGAGGCGTTATTGCCGAAAAGAGGTCAGAAACGCTATAGTTTTATATAGATAGATATATATATGCAGGGTGGACGTGGAAAGCGCGCGGGCTCGGTTATCCGGGCTCCACCCGTGCTTCGCCTGTGCGCTGTTATCACCTCTCACTCCGAAGTCCAGTCTAAATTTCATCGTTTCAATTACACGCCCTCGATATTTTAGTGAATAATCCCAGCATCGTTATGTGAGGAGATGAAAACAGGCAGACACGCAGGCTTTAGGGGATTTCCGATTCCTGCGCGCCCCCGTCTCCCCGCGGCTGCCTCCGCGCACAGCGCGGGGATGCACGGCGCGGAGGCTACTTGAATCCCGCCGCTCCTCGCTCCGCGCTTGGGGCGCCGGGCCCCGCGGCAGGGGTTTGGTCGGCGGGCTCTCAGCAGGGAGAGGCGGAGGGAAGGGGAACCTGCCGGAGGCCCGCAGTCCGCCGCGGCCGGGCCGGGCAGGGTGACCCCGGACTGGTGCTCTCGAGGCTGAGAGCGGAGCGGGAGACTCCCGCGGGACCCTCCGACGGAGGGACTGCGTCTGGTTCTGATTCCTCCCTCTCACAAGTAATGCAAGGATGTGTGTGGGTGGGAGGGCTAGTCGGTTGCACACAGGAGAGATCTCTCATATATTTGACGGTAAGGCACAGCACGAAGAAAACACCGAACGCGGAGAATTAGGGTTGTTTTAACAAGAGGGTGTCGGCATACGGACTTCTAAATCAAAGGCTGCACCGTAGCGCAAGTGCGTGCGGCTGGACGTTTCTCCCTGTAGGCTGCTCTAGCGAAACTCGTTCTCCCGTTAAAACATGGTCTGCTGAGAAATTGGAAATGGCATCGTGGTCAGCTTACGAAAAACGGGCACTGAGACGAGGGCCGCGGTGAGCCGGGCCGCCCACCCCCAGCTGGTCCCGTCGGGCA